GAGGCATTTAAATAGAGCTCATTGGATACAAACGCTACAATGGGAAAGTCAAAGGAGCTCAGCATGGATCTGACAAAGCGAATCATCGACTTGAACAAGTCTGGAAAGTGACTTGGAGCCATTTCAAAGCAGCTGCAGGTCCCAAGAGCAACAGTGCAAACAGTAGTTTGTAAGTATAAAGTGCACGACGCTGTTTTGTCACCATCAGGAAGAAAACACAAGCTATCACCTGCTGCTGAGAGAACATTGGTCAGGAGGGGGAAGAGTCAACAGAGAACCACCAAAATGCAGATCTGCCAAGAAGTAGAAGCTGCTGGAACACAGTGTCCATGTCCACAGTCGTGTTTGGCATCTCCATGGACGGAGAGGCTGCCGTGCAGGAAGGAAGCTCTTGCTCCAAAAGTGCCACCTCAAGGCTCGACTGAAGTTTGCTGCTGATCACGTGGACCAAGATGAGACCTTCTGGAGGAAAGTTCTGTGTTCAGACGAAACCAAAAAATGAATGAACTAAGCAGATCAGCTGTTCTGGAAGCGGATACTCAGAGTAAGTCAACTCGGAGTTCAGGGATAGACTCAGAGTTTGTTGAACCTCCTTTCTGGAATACCCCCCATGTCTACCGCCAAGCACGGTGGTGGTAGTATTATGCTGCCAGTGGATCTGGTGCTGGTGGATGTGAACAATGCTGAAGAAACAAGTCCATGTCAGAGAGCCTTCACATTTAACTGAACAGCACCAATTCTGTTGTCCAGAGGAGCGGTCAAAGATTCAACGAGAAGCTTGTGGACGGCCACCAAAAGCGCCTAATAGAAGTGAAAATGGCCAAAGGACATGTGACCAAATATTATCACTGCTGTATGTATATTTATGACCCAGCTGATACTGTCATGTTCTCTGTTAACCCATAATTAAGTCCTAAAAGAACCAAACCTCATGAATGTTGTTGTGACAGAGTGATTGGAACAGATTCTTCTATCAGAGGAAAATCAGACTTGTAGGAATAAGGGGAAACTCAAGGAGAGCCATGACATCATGTTCTTTACAAGTGTATGTAAACGTTTGACCACAGCTGTAGTGGGTAGATATGTGTGTTTAGCTCTATAGGCTTCATGCTGTCCTGATATCCACATGTGAGGCCGTTGATGAGCGTAGCTGATTTCCTGTCACGCCACCTCATCACTGGCTCTGTCACAGGCACTTTGCTGGAGGCCCACTGGCACAGTTCTTGTTATCATCTCCTATTCTACATTCTCTCTCTACATAATAAATCACATCAAAGTTTTTAAATACAATTAGCAGAGCCAGCTGTTTTCTGACACATTGTGTACAACTACAGGATCTTTACAGTAAACTGATGGAGATCAGATGTAAACATTTGATTATTATATAACCACAAAATACTCAATGTTAACATTGTAATGAGTTATTTAGACAAGATGATTTCAGACAATATCAGGAGAGAAGAGTCAGCAGTGACACAAAATGAGAATATTACTGAACAGGAAAAACAATAGGAAAGCCTACTATATACAGAATAATATGTACAGTATTATACGTTAATTTCATCAACGTACATTTAAATAATAAAACACATAAGGAAATCATGTGAGAAGTTATTTAAGAGTAACAGGTCTACAAAAGGGAAAAAAGGAGAGGGACGTCAGCAGAACAAAGTGGGTGATGCAGAAACAGTTAAGGATACGTGTTTGAAATGAAGGAGACCCGTTGGATTGAGGACTTTATACCATGGGCTCATTTCCGGCGACGCAGAGAGATGCGCTGCAGTCTCCCAGCTTTCCCCCTGGCATCAATGGGCCGCATCTCATTGACCTTTGACCTGATCATCCGGGAGTAGCTGGGTCTCTTGGTGTAATGCATCAGAGGGCGGTCAGGCTGAGGCCCTGCTGGGACGGAGAAATGGAAGTTATATTCTACTGCAAAGGCAGGGCACATGCATTCTGGTAGCTCTCCAAATTTTGATGCATTTTTGTTTGTATTCTTGTCATTACGTTTCATTTTTCTATTCTGTACATTTTGTCTGTTTCGATCCAGTTCTGCATACTTAATGCTGTAGACTCATTGAGGACACGACATTTACCCGGAAGAGGATCCTTGTGGCCAACTCGACATCCGCCGCTACTGAACAAATCCTGTTCAATCTAATCAATAGTAATTTAACAATTCCCATGGTAATTATGTTTTGGGTGATAACTCGCGCCCCCAGAGGCTCGACGTGTTCCCGAGCGTCTTTAGAAGACCCTGAGATTGAGGCCATGTGGGTGGACCGAAAGCAGGTAAGCTATCCGCTGACGTTCCATCCTTCTTTCAGATGTGGACTAGTTGGGTCGGTTTGCCGGGCCCTGGAGGAATAGTTTGTGCACCCCATGCCTCGTGAAGTGTGACACCAGGAGTTGAGGACTTCTACCGGTGTGGTGACAGCCATCTGTCACCACACCGGTAGAACCGATCTGTTAAAACCAGTTTTTGTGTCGCAACATGATGTCCTTTGGGATTTTGATCAATGGGTTCCTGGTGGTGACTTGCGGTTCTGGTAGAGGCGTACCAATGCATCCTGGATCCAGTTTGGGTTTCTTCGGTGGGCCGAGAAAATGTCCAACAATGGAAACAGTGATGTGGGACCCAAGAGCCGGTCAAAGCTCCTTCTGGTGTTCCTGGTCGCCCATGCTGAAAAGCGGCTGTAAGTTTTAATGAAGCGGATCAAAGTGTTGTCCTGCCCCCCTGGGAGAGCGGGGGTTCAAAGGCGGAGATATCGCACAAACCTCCTTTCTAACTTTTCTAAGAAGGGATCGGGGGTAGCCCCTCTCTCCTCAGGCCTTGAATAAGATCTGTGTGGCCGGGCCTCAGTCCTGCGCCCGTGAGCAGATCCGTTCAAACCTCAATAATTGGGACTTCAGAATGAAGTCGTGAGGGTGATGGTTACCGGTGCGATATAGCAATAAGTGTGAATCTGTTAGTTTAAAAAAAACCACTTTCATTTAAAGGGAGACAATGAGAAGTTGGGCCCCTTGAAGTAAAAAAGTCCAAAAAGCTCCCATTAGTTGGTGACGGCTGTAAGTTTAATGACCGGGTGGTGTGAATTGAAGGTCTGGAGGAAGAAGTCAAACTCCTTTCCTGAGTGAGGCCAGACCCAGACTTCATCCAAATAGCTGTAGTAATGACTGGGACGTTTGGCGCACAAAGGGAGAATGGATTCTTCCCAAGTGGCCATGTAAATATCTGCATAGGCTGGGGCAAATTTCTTGCCATGGCTGCTCCACTAATCTGTAGGTACTGTTGGCCATTAATGTCAAAGTCATTTCTGGTTAGGCTAAGCTTGTCATGACGGGCGGCGATAACGGCGACCTGAACGCCTTCCCGGGACGCTAGGAGAGCCGACTGCGTCTGCCAGGAAGCCAGCTGGCGTTCTCCCACGAGTTCCCCACAACTGGTTCTGGAGAACAAACTCTGCTGAGTCCTTGAAAGGTTGCGTCATTCTGTCAGGATGGCGGGAAAGGCAGGACTCAAACGCAGAGTTTCAAAAAACAAAGAGACATTAATGGTCAAAAATTCCAAAAGCAAAAAAGGGGCAAAGATGGCGAAAGGAACCAGGGAAACTCAGACATGGACTTCCGGACATTCAACAATGACGCGACAAGTGACAAGATACACACACGGTTTAAACACACTAGGGAGGTGCAGGTGATTGGACACAGGTGGAAAAAATCTGACAATCACAGGGGATGACAGGACAAGGCAGGAAGTGAAGTTATCTACGGATACAAGAGGCAGAAAACTACAAAATAAAACAGGACGTGAACCAAACCGTGAAAAAGCTTCAGGATCTCCTGGTCTGGTTTGGATTGTTCAGGGAATTGTAGCAGAATCTTAACTGCTGCCAGCGGCATTGTTGTGTCGATGTTTGTATAGAGACTGTGCATATCCATGGTTAAGGGATTTGCCGTCCAAAGAGATGTTACGGACTTTCTGGAGGAAATCATAAGTGTCCTTGAGGTAGCTGGCATGGAGGTTATTTGGGGGGGTTTAGGTAGGGATCCAGACATTATGCCACACAATAGCTTTCATCGTTACAGTCAGAGACTACAGGCGGCCTGGAGGCATTCTGTGGGGAACGGGCCCTGATTTCGGTGGTTTGTGGATCTTAGGTAAAAAATAAAAGTGTCTTACGAGGGGTGTCCGTAGTAGACAGGTAAGAGCCTTGTTTGGTAGCTGAGGTTCCTTTACCCAGATGTCGGTGATCAGGATAATCGCGCGTGCACGTCCTACGTCAGAAGGGTCGATCACCAAAACCAGGATATTTTAACAGTATAACGGCAAATAAACGCAAAGGAAGAGCGTCTTTTTACTATTAAAGTTTCTGATAATGATCTGGTGCTCGAATTCAAACCGTCAAACAGAAGTTTGACTATTGACGACACATTGGGTGAACACCAACAGAGAGACAATTCATTTATAGTCTGGTTATTGGCCCCTGATCCCAGGATGGTGCCCCGTTATTATTTGTTAAATACTATTAATTTGAATAATTTAATGTTTCTACCTGCTGATAAACAGGAACCTGCCAGATGCCAACAGGTGCCATTGCTTTTTAACTTTTGATTGATATACGAGGGTGAAACAATAAACAATAAGATTGTTACACTTTTATTAACCAAGTTTGGGTGTAAATGTTGAATATTGAACTACAAATTAGTATTTTTTACTTGTGTTTTTACAGTATTTTTTACAAAATTTTTACTAATTTAGTGAATGAACAAATACATACTGTGAAAATGAGTCAAAGTATAGTCCTACTAGTTTTAGTGTACCTGAGCACAGTACTACTAAGTACACTGTGGGGATGCTGACCATTGTGGCACGGCTGCTTCTCAGTGTGCTCCTCAGGCTTTGCCTCTGTGTTCTTTGGGCCTGATGCTGAAGGTCCACCTGGATTATTTCCTCCTTCCTCCTCTTTGGGCGTTTGTACCTCCTGCTGCACCCTGCTCTCCAACACCACCTGACCCTCCACCTCTGTCTTCATCTCCTGCCCTGAATTGTGTCTCTTTGGCTGTGTCTCCTCTGCTGTGTCCTTCTCTTGCCGGCCACTCTCCCCTGCCTCCTTCTGGACCTTTTCCTCCAGGTCTCCCAGAACACAAACACGCATTAACAAAAGCAATATTCTCTATGATGTTGCTTCATTTGACATCACTGCAGCACTCAGAAGACGTTAGGATGAAGCTGCTGCTGCTCACAGGCGGATTCACATGATTATCAGAAGGAAGTAAAACCCAGACTGTACCTGTATTTGTCAGAAGGTAATTAGTCCATGGACATGCGTGTATTAAATAAGGACATGATAAAGTAAGCAGTGCTACAATGTCTTCTCACAGCTAATACGCTTAGCTGCTTCTCAGATGTGTGTTTGATAATGTGGCCCCCCGGACTGGAAGGAGCCCTGTAGAGAGTGACAGATGATACCAGGTGGTAAGTATGGGCACCTTTGGTTGCCTGGTTCTTCCACGTCTCCGTGTTGTGGTGAATCTCCTTGTTCCATGTGACCTTGAAGCCCTTGAAGTCCACCGTGGTCAGAGAGAAGCTGCCCTCTGAGCCTGTACTCTTCACACTGGACCTCTTTCCATCACTGCCACTGACACTGTGGTCACTGTGGACAGTGTAGACATGTGCACACAAACACACATCCTGTCAGACGTGTTGAGGTAGAAAGCTGGTGCCTCTTATAGGACAAAGCAACGCCGTCAACGTTACCCTTCAAAGTAAAAGCATCAACGTGTTGACATGTAAACGGATGTAAATATTATTTCCTAGCGTGTTTAGATGATAATGCAGCTGTGCTGTTCATGCTTAAGGTTATAGTGTATTAAAGTACTAGTTTCCTTAAATAAACAGTGTGTAGCGTATCGGGGGATCTGTTGATGGAAATTGAATAGATTCTTACTATATGCTGGTTTTTAATAGTGTTAAAACTATCTAGGGAGGGGTGGTCATGTTCCTACGGTGGCCCAGAATGGACACATGGAAACAATTGAAATTGGGCCTTTTGAAGGTCTGTTTTAGTTTCTATCTGTGACTTCCTGTCTTGGTAGTAGCGATCTGATGAGATGAGGACGTCAGCCGATGTCCGTGAGGGGAAGACGGGAGCAGGTTGGGGACGGCTGATCTACACCACAGGATCATCTAAAATAAGTGTTTGTAATCTTCTGTTTGTCACCTCCAGCGTCTGAAGGCAGCCGTTCCAGATCGCGATGCCTCCTCAACAAGCGGAGTCACAGTTTTCTCCATCATTTCTGTCAGCACTGTAAATGTTGGTTCCACCATGAAGTCAATGAATCCTGCCGGATACGGAAGACACGCCCACTTAACACATTCACTTCACCTTGTTGATTCTAATTTGTGTTGACATGTTTTTACTATTTGATAGTAACTAAATAATCACTTAGTTTTCATGCTACTTCCACACGCACAACAACTAGATACGAATGTTGGTCCAGCGAATAAACATCTGAACTTTTCTCCCAAATGAATCGATATACTGGGACAACGGTTTCCATAACAGAGGTACACTGGAGCAGACTGTTCATTAGATAGCAGATAGCAGTGTGACCAATGATCTTATCTGGACCCACATGGCTGCTTCAGCACTTCAGACTACATGTACAATCATCCTGTTGTTGTAATGTTTCCTCGCTGAGTGTATTCGGACTGTCGACATGTTTTCAGCCACAGTTCATCTCCTCCCCTCCCTACACGCCTTCCTCCTAAGTCATTGTCTCACATGAACAACCACTGACTGCCTGCTACTGGAGGACAAGTCCACCAGAAGGTGCTGAGCGTCTTCTACTACCTCATTACTAATTCACATGTACAAAGACTAAACCTTATTCTAATGAATGTATACAATCAACTATTGTTAGCAGGCGGTGAGCTGCGAGCGGCAGCGCTGGTTTATCTGATGTTACACCCAGAGTACTCGTCTGCTTATTTTACCTCTGAAAACAAACTAGGTCCAAACTTATTCGTCACTAGTGCAGAGCCATGTGGAGTACTGCATAAATGAAAAGGCCGCTCATTGATTCAAAGTGGTCACCTGTCTAAAGAACTCCTCCAGAAGGGATGTGGTCCAGCGATGATGGAGGTCCCAGCGTTTGGCAGGGTGGCTGATGTCAGCAGTGTGCAGTAGCAGGGACGAGGCCTTTGCTTTGTCGGGCCTGCAAGTCCAGTCCAGTTAGTGGACGCGGCGCGTGAAGGGTTGTAGAGCAGAAACAATCATGGTTTGATAGTTTCAGCACTGTGAAGGACTGGAGTGACTGGCAGCATGAGGCGGGACGGACCCAGACGTGAAACACTCACGCCTCATGTTGCTGCAGGTGGCTTTTCATCCCGTTGATCTGCTGGAAGTGGCAGGACATGTCTGTGGCCAACACCATCTCCACCACCAGAGCCCGAAGCGCTCTGAAAGAGGGCAGGCAGTAAAACATTCATGCTCCCTACAGAAGGAATCTTAGATGAAGCTTGGGGAAAGTTTAATCAGAGGAGACTGAGATGCTTTCATCCTGTTGCTGTCACTTCTATATTTCTGCAGCAATGCAGTGCCAGATCGATGCAACTCTGCCCCAAACTACTCAACTTGTCCCTAAAATGAGTCATTTGATTCTGCTTGACTGTAAAATAAGGTGACGTGTTTATCCCTGGTATCATCAGCTGTAGCTCCCTCTAAGCACCAGTAGGAGGCAGTATTTTAGAAGCAATGACTTGCACTGTAATCTGGGGGTTGTATTGTACAGTGAATTATTATCTGAAGTCATTGAATGGAAACAGCGGTAAAAAAGGACGTCCCTTCAGCTGCAGCGCTCTTCTCTTACCTCCACTCGTCTTTGGAGAGATTAGACAGAATGTTCATGTCATCACTGTGCTGTAGAAGGCGACATGCAGCACTGACGTGGTAGTTCTCCAGAACAGCTCGGTCATTGTACAACATGGCGGTGTCTGACCTGCGACACGGCTACTTCAGGAATGATCACCCTCACCGCCATCGTGATAATGCCAACAATGTATGAGGTAAAGCTGCTATCATTCATAGTAGACTTTTTATTAGGTCACCTGTTAGATATCTCTTCATGCTCCAGTGTTGTCCACTGTCCTCAGAGACTGCAGGGATTGAAATGCTACAAACGATGCTACGTGGGAATAACCTTGTCTGAATATGGAAGTTATTGGTGGTCCCTGTGTGCTCGTAGTCATGAATGGCAGCTGCAAAAATGATGGCAAAGATCTCCAACTCACTGAGCCAGTGCTGAAGGAGAGAGGCAGACAGACGAGGAGGAACGTGTCAATCGGGAGATGAAGATTAAAAACCGTCCTGCTTAACGTTGTGCGGTTCTCCTGCTGGAAGTGAACCAGCACAGAGTCTCTTTGCCAGTTGTCAGTGTGCCTGAACCACCTCGGTTGTTTTCCAGTAGCACCTCAACTCAAATGAAAGCAAATAGAGCTCTTCACCAAGAGGATCTGGTGCAAAGGGCCTCACTGAGTGCTGGAGGTCACTGTGCGAGGAGGCCAACAGGACAACATCACATCAGCACCAGCAGAGAGGAGATGGAGACCCCTGACCCGAGGTCCTCCACCCCCGGGTGCGCCTAGATATCCTGTCCATGAAAGTCACCAACTGCAGAGTCAAAAGCCTTCTCCGTCCACAAAGCACATGTAGACTGGTTGGGCAAACTGCCAGGACCCCCCCCCCAGTAGTCTCGGGAGGGTAAAGAGCTGGTCCACTGGTCCAAGACCGGGACGGAGTGAGCACTACTCTGCTTGAGTCCAAGGTTCCATATGCTGTGATATGAGTCACTGCCTCCCCAGCATAGTCTTTCCCCAGAAAGGTGAAAGTGTCATATCCCCTTCAGCAACTCACGGCGAGTCCCATCCAGCCCCGGCCTTGCCCCCATGCAGCTTTCTGACCCCCGTAGTGACCCACGGGCACGTGGAGGCGGGGCTTGTACCTTTTAATAACACAATGTCTGCATTGTACATGTGGTGCTGCTATAGTCCCTAGACAGCCGTCATGAGGGATTGTTGATGCATTATTTCAACGCAAATTAAGTTGGGTGGTGCTTGTGCTTGGGGGAGGGGCTTGAAAAAGGCCCCGTGGGCCTCTGTTTATTGAGGCCTTGTTTACCTGAGAAGGAGTCTCATTTAGATTTTAACCATGATTTAAATCTATGTTTTGTCTTTACTTTACTGATTGACTGAACTCTTTCTTCTGTTGTTCTTTCTTTGCTGTAACAACCTACATCAATAAAAGTCACCAAAGTCACTTAAAGCTCCAGTTTGTCATGCAGCCTTTCATCCATTTACAGTCAGAGACAACACTAACTTTGCTATTGCATCATTATTATCTACCTGTCAGTCATCATTCATCCCGTCCCGATTGGATTTTGAGGTAGGAAAGCTGTGATGAGTGACTTGTAAGATCCACTGAGGAAGTCTGCAGGCACTTTTGAAAAGCGTATTGGATTGTGCTTTTACCCCACCCTGAACGTACCACCATGCCGGTCTTGAGGAGCAGGTAATGAATGGTCTGTGTGACATCAGCCGCATGCGTCAGGTTGTGATAGGGATTCTTGTGTTTGCTGTAGCCCACTTCCAACGAGTCCACGAAGGATATGAGGACACAAACAGGGACCTTCAATAGAAGACAAGGAACAACCAGTTGCTTTGCAGAATTGTAGAAGCAATACAGAGAAGTTGTTCTGTTGAACCCAGTACGTTCCCATCGATACTTAGTTCTGCTGTCACTGACATTGTGCTCATTACATACACAGCGTCTTGTCAAAATGGACATACCTTGAAACGGTTGATCAAGTCATATCTGGTGAATAGCTCATAGAAGACAAATTTCAGAGCGTGGTCCCCACTAGCATCGTTCAGTGCAAACACATCAAAAGACCACATGTCCACATGCTAGAAAAGACACACAGAAGCTTTATTAGCACGTGAATGTCCACATAACGGTTCAACTGTTCATTTCTAGGATTCCTTTGTTAAGGTACAATCGATAAGAAAACATAAAAACACCAGTTACAATTTAGTCTGGAGGATTTTGTACTGATATAGAATTTAACAACTGGGAACTCGTTATTGAATTCTAGCTTCTTTTGTTATCCTGCACCTGCAAAATCTATGGATTTGTGGGTTGAGATCAGTTTATATGTTACTGCTGAAGAAATATAGCAATATTCCACACAAATGGAACCACATTCAGCTGGTTTATGTCGTATTTATCAGATCGATCCCAGTTCATGTTTGCTTATTACTGGTCAGATAGCGATGCTTCCTTAGTGTGTTAGAGGAAGCCTAAAATGATGATGCTTTAAGTTCCTTTGAGCATCGGCTTTGGACGGTTCAATGTTTAACGTTTAATTGGCTGATTGTAAACTCTCAAGACTTCTAACCATCCACCACCACTTCCACTGACTCCAGTGGAATATCGCCCACTAGGGCTTTTAATATAATCTGAATATCTATGTTTGAGCATTATGTCCTTGACTCTGTGTCCTTACAGCGTCTCACAACTTGTCCCTTTTTTGCTGAACTGGATACTGTTTTCTTATTATTTTTGTGGACATGCTTTAAAAGGTGGACGGGCTGAGTTCAAGGGAAGAGTTCTCTGTATAAGACAAAAACTTAGAGAGGAACTTAAGATACTGGCTTTGGTGATGGAGAGTTTTTGGGCTGAGGCTGCAGCTATGACCCAGCACGTCCAACCCCCCCTCTAGCGTTCCTGGTCCCACATCAAGTCCCTTCACGCTACCAGCAACAGGGAATCAATTAAGCATGTGGATTTTTTATTATATTCTATTTGTGACTTAATAATTCATATAGTATCAATAAGGAACCTGACCGATAAGCAGTATGGACAGTAGTTGATAAAATCCTAACAAGTGTCCCTCGCCATTATGTCCAGAGTTAAGTCGTCCCACGTGATACCAATCGACCAATCGAGTCCTTGCATTCCAGGCAGGACGATGTGTCTCAACGGTGCATTTGTGTACATTGTTGGGATGCGGAGAACATGGGAAAAGCCGCTGCACGCCGCGCTGTTCCTGAAGTTTATTTGGCGCTTGAGAAACTTCTGGATGGTTCATTACATTCCCTGCCGATGTCCCAGTAAATGCAATCAAAGAGGGCTTTTATGGAACTGCAGGTAATTGAGTCAGTCCGTGTTTCATCACTTATTGAAAAGGCGTTCCTATCACTATTCATTACGGAGCTTATCATCTTTATAGAATATGATTAAGGTGGACTCATGATAAGAATAGAGGGAATACACACATACATGCTGATTCACACACACATATTCAAACTCCTGGTTCTATATGGTGCGTTCATGATCCCCTCCGGCTCGTCAGCGGAGAAAAAAGAGCCTCTTCCTTTGAGTTGATTTGATCGACTCTTCCCCCTTTTGAAGTAGGACGCGGACACACAATTATCCTGATGACGGACGTCTGGTTCCAGTTAATGACATTAAGCTGGATCAGCTAGCATGGTTTCAGTCAGCGGGTTAGTTTGAGCTAAGAGGACATTTGATTGGCTTAGTTGCACCACGTACAAGTAACGCGTATCCCTGCTGGCTTTGACCATCAACAGCAAACAATCACCCAGTGGAGTCCACCATGTTTGTACCCTATTCAGCTACGAGGATAATGCAGAGTTTTATTATTATTACCAATGAACCCTTTATGTTATCTGTGTTATATCATTCATGTTAAATGGGAAAACCTTGAAACAAACATCACACATCATGACTAAACCACTATGAAGGGCCTAATATTCCACATGACTGTTGCATCAAATACACCAAACAAGCCAAACCTCTCCACAAAGATGCCGGCCTGCACTGCATGAACGATGCTGCGGAAGCGTGGCTTGTCCTCGTTACGGCGCAGCATCACAACCGTCTGCCGGGTGAAAGTGGAAGCCAGCCAGTCCCGAACCTCTGACGGCACCGAGTCCGACCGGATGTCACCCAGCTGGTCCTCTGGATCCACCAGCCGCCTGCAAGGAGACACGCATCAGACTAAAAGCCAGAAAAAAGATCACACCTTCTCGCCAAAGCTGCTGATTGATGATCTTCATCAACAAATTGAAGGATTGTCTTATTCACTACTCGATGAGCACACAATTCAATTATTGTGTAGAACGCGGCTTGTCAGATTTTCCCAACCGATTGTGTCACACGTTGACCACGTGGCTGATGTGACGCGTATTTACCAGCGTTCAGACACATTCACATTTAACTGAAACGTCCTGCCGTCATTTTGTTACAACTTCACCAAGACGAGAGTTGACTACTGGTTTACATTTAGGTCGGCCATCTTTTGTGTAACTAACTAGTAACTGCCGGCTGGTCTTATGTATTCATGTGCAGGGTCCCACTGTCCTATAAGGAATAAGGCTCGCAACATTGTGCAGCAATAATTTAAACAATTCTGGGTTAGAAACTTGGAAACCGTATTGAGCCACGAGTTACTCATTAAATTAAATATATTACTAACATACACATAGACTTAATGGAATCATTTAAATACTAATTAGTAGTAAAATAATATGAATGAATGATGATGTATATTGTAATTGTCATTTATTTATCATCCATGGACGATCTTACTTACTACCAAACAATATTTAATTGCCTTGCACCAATTTATGGGGTATTGCAGTTAATATAGTCTTAAGATATTTAGAGTGCTTTACTTTAGCTTCAAAATGCTTAAGACGATGTAGCTTGTGTGTAAATGATCCCGTTGTGGTTTATAAATGAGTGAGGAAGCCACCGTGCTACTGGAATGGCCCAGTACCGTGTGCCATTAAAACGCTGGGGGAGCCGCGCTCTGTTGATGAGCCGACTGCCGACGGGAAGAAACCCTTTGTGTCCATAAAGTCCTGCGTGCATGAGGATGATGTGTTAACCTGAACCTCACCTGCTTTCTGCTTTTACACTTCAATGTTTCCCCTTGGATTCTTTGGATTGTTGTACCTTTTGTGGACTCCTCTGCTCCACAGGTTTGTTTTTTAAGACAAACGTTTGCGTTTGGCCATTTCTCTACGTGCTCCTCCACCTCTGCTCAAAGGTCTATTTAGCTGCCGATCGTGAAAGAATTCAAGAAAATCATTTTAAAATCCCTTTTTCTTCATGTTCATGGATTATTTGAGAAAAGCAGAAGTGAAATCTCTCGCCTGGCTTCCTCAATGCACAGAGCTTCTAGGACTGAGGCGGCGTAGTCCAGGTTTCTCTTCAGCTCCACCACAGATGCCTCCACCCTTTCCAGCTGCTTCACAAGACAACCTGCAACACATAGAGGCCCAGCAGCATCTGCCCTCCATTCAGACCGTCCCAAACGCTGGATTGGGGAGCTGTACAATCTATAGGTAGAATATATCTCCCACAGATGGTTTGGGAGTGATTAGCACAATCTGGGCTGTATAATATGTGCGCCCATATTACATGGCAGTGCAGTTGGTAATGTCAAAGTCAAAACAGCAGTTTCACAGTTAATGTCACTGCAAAGAAAGCTGCAGCGCTCTTTTCTAACTGGGTTCTGTCTCACTCAGTGGACGTAGATTGTGGGTTGAAGTCCCGTCTCAAAGCACCTTCTAAACAATTGGCTAGAACGCCATGAAAGGAAGCGTAAAGCCTGTTCTATGTGTGGCGAGTAAAACTTAAAGTAAAGGACACCATCTGTTTAGCAAAGGCAGCAAGCAAAGCTCCTCTTCCACGTTTCCCTTCATCACAGCTTCATTTGGCATGTGAATGATACATTTACATGAAGCAAAGGCCGCTGTGTGTGTGTGTGTGTGTGTGTGTGTGTGTGTGTGTGTGTGTGTGTGTGTGTGTGTGTGTGTGTGAGACCTGCTGGCAGTCTTCTCCATGGTGTCCGGGGCACCAAGGACCGGCAGCTCATCCTTCAGGATCTCTTCATTCTGAACTCCTTTGTATTCAGTGATGCCAACAGCCGCTGGGACGGCAGTGCGCAGTGCATTCTGGGACCGTGAGCCTGAACGATGGACACAAAAGCGCCTGCTAGCATTTCCACGTGTGCAGCGTCCATGTTTTAATCCATCGGGGACCAAAGTGATTGACGCAGTCGGCCGTTAGACGGAGAGACGAGGACGTGTTTGAATGGACACGGAGGAGTGAACACAGTTGAAGAAAAAAGATGTGTCAACTACAAAGGAGGCTTAGACCCACTGCTGGAAAACACACACGTCAGAGGAGCAAATCCTGATGCTGCACAAAGAAAGTGGGGATAGTTAAAGAATGAAGTCTGAACAGAATCAGTAGAGTTTTCTGACCGACTTGTTGTTGCCTCCAGTTGTGCGACTGTTTGGACTGACAGCCGGCTCAGTGTCCCCTTCTGCTGGGGACGTATTCATGGCGGGTCACATGTACATGTGCCCCTCACGTGTGGACAGAAGCCCCCGTCACACGGTATTTACCTGCATTACAGAGGTCACTGTTTGAAACACAAGTTGGATGAACTCACGTGCCAAGTGGGCCGGTGGAAAGCGGGAGCTCGGCGCCGCCTCGTTGGCAACTGGACAAAAGAAGGAGAATTTCTGTCATTTGACATTCTTACTGGTCATTTGGGTCCAATAAGCATGACTTCTATTGTCCAATGACAGCGCGGTGCTGGGGACACACACTGTGCTTACTCTCCTGGTCCACCTGGTACAGTGTGGGGACATTCGTCTCTAAAGTCACGTCCACTTTAGTGACCTCGTTCATTCCCAGGATACTTCTACCCAACCTGTGTTTAGTCACAGACGCCAACCTGCAGCCCCACGTTTTGTTTGTGTTGTTCAGCCGCTCGTGGAAGTAAACTTGCTTGTGTGTGAAACGTGTTTCCAACCAAGTGATAAGAACAAGAATACAATCAGTAAAAGGAAACATAACACGTGACCTTCCCAACCCAGAGCCACTGGTCAGAGGATCAGAGTGTGTGTGTGTGTGTGTGTGTGTGTGTGTGTGTGTGTGCGTCATGGGGGTGCAGCTGGAATCAGGAAGTGAAGGAGGACATCAAGAAGCAGCCACTTCATTAGTGACAATGACTCCCTGAGCTCCGCTGCCCAACAACTGACGACACACCAGTCGACATGACGTCACCTCCCAGTCTCCTGGTTGCCGTGGAGACAGCAGCCTGTGAACACGACGCTGTGTGCTGTTCTCCGTACTCATCACATGGACTCCATCAGACAGTAACTACGCCCTCTTCACAGTGGGCCGGGCTACGTCGGCTGTTATGAGGCCGGCTGTGGACTTCGGTCCATCCCGATGTCTCCTGGAGCAGTTCCTACTGCGGCCGTGCCATCGGGGACAAACAAGGAGACACAAAGTGGGGAAGCGTTTCCTCTCGGAGCTGCTGTCAGCTGGTTGCAGGAGGAAAAGACGACTTGTCAACAAGGCAAAAGTGATGGTGATCAGGATGCTCGGCCTGCGCTTAGTGCTCCTAATGGCCTTTGGCACGTTTCACTGCGCCCAAAGGAAAGCCACCAATCAGAGCCTGGAGTCTCCAACACAGCTGTCAATCACTGCCAGTGACACGTTGACAATCAAACCGTCTCATCTAAACATCCTATGAGCTGTTTCAGAGGCATGTTTCAGCTACTGATGAGCAGTAAAACATGTTGGGACAGAAAGCAGTCGAGCCAGGACGTGTCTCCTTGTGGACGTGTAGATTATGTCTCGTGTTCTACAGTCAAGAGACAGTGAGACGTTTCATCGAAGTCACTAAATGTTGCTTTAAAGCCGTCATCACAAAGACATAGTTTCACTTTGTGTGTTTGTCCTGAAGGACACGCTACATCCAGACGGAGGAAGATGAAGCAGGTAAACGGCTACAAATAGAACACGATGAAGCTGAGTAACACACACACACTGAAACACAGAGCATCTCACCAATGGTGAAGCTGAAGCGTCCGTGCAGAAAGTAGCACTGCCGCCCTTTGTAAACGCCTGTTTGTTGGACGTTGGTCGTGTCGTTGGGCTCCTGATGTGCACGGTGTCCCTCAGTGGGTGAGGGGGGGCCGTTCTCTCTGTGCTGCTGTGGACGGGTGTTCAGGGTAAACGCCGCCCTTTTCCTCTTTGCTCTTCGCCCCTCGAGGCTCTAACAACTCTGATCTGCTCCATTGAGACACTTTCATGTCTGATATTTATATTTACTGTGAATTAGTTTCCTCTGCTGCTCCGTCACACACAGCGTTTCTATTTGAAATGAGAAGCAAACAAAAGCGTGATAGTTAAACACCCGACAGTCAAGAAGCGTATTCAAATGTTTCAGAGCAGCTGACGTCATCGAGGCAGCTGCTGTCCCATGAAATGAGCGTCCTCTGTTGTCCCCGTGAGTCAGGACCCCCGAGTCTGTTCTCCCCAGAACGCAAGTCCGTCCTCTGCGTCCCATCGTTGAGAAAGGGCCCCACGTTGGGAGGTTAATACGAGCAGCGTGGAGATCAGGACCTTCAGCTGCTTCCACGTGTCGTCCAGTCAACAGGGGACACGAGGACAGAGGTCCCTCATGATGCAGCTGTGGACAGTCTTCTCGTATGTTTCTGTTGCTGCTTATTACCCGTCCATGACCAGCCGTTCTCCTGAAGCTTCCCCTGGACCGAGGCGCTAATGGAACCACTGAGCTCCACCACCGGGGCTCCCTGAAGACCTTTACTGGTGCTCTGAGTTCTCTCCGTTCTTCCTGCTGCAGGAACGTCTCCGCGCCCCTCAGCTGCTGTTCATACAGCTGTCAATCATGTTGAATGACACGTGAATGAAGGCGGCACGATGCAGCGCGCTGAGGCCATGCAGAGAAGCTCAAGTAGCGGTGAGCCTTGTAGTGACGTCATTGTCTTAACTCAGGTAGTGACGTGATGTCACCTGTCAATCACAGGTCAGTGGAGCCACGATAATGAAGTAACTGTTGTTCTTTGGTGACTAAAGAGCCTCTTCTTGTTCACAACAACGGGTTCAGTCATCGAGCAGCAGCACATGTGGGATTAGTTCACTTCCTGCTTGTAGTTCACTGAGAACGTCAGCGCCTCTGGACACGATGGACTAACATCTGGAGGGACAACGTCCCCTTGCTGGACATCAACACGAGTTCCCTCGTTGTCCTCTTACAGGACGTTGTCCCACACACGTCTCTGGTTTAGTTCAGTGTGTTGTGTTCTAGTGTCTTTTAAACACTTAAAACGCACTTATGTGACGTCACAGAACTAACCGGTGGCTCTGTGGGCCACAGCGCCCCCACGTGGGCAAACCAAGCAGCTGCTTATAAGCGCTCAGCCTGACGGTGACGTGTGCTGCAGAACTCTGTTCAGAAAGGGTTGAATTAAACAAACGCTGGTGCCTAACCGGCCCAAACATCACCACTAACATCAAGTAGAAGAGCCTTTGTGAACCACGCGGAGCTCATCTGTTATTCGGCAACACGAAATCACCTGAAGAACCAACGTGTCTGATAACAATCACACTCTGAGCCCTTTGGACATGTTGTCTCATCAGGAGACCGTAGCGGTTTATCGGCTCTCACGTTGAACTAACTTACATCCGGAAGACGTTTACAGCAACACGAGCCTTCGGAGTCTTTTCGCTTCCGTTTCTGCGTGTTTCTCCTCCATATTCCGGTGAACGGAGCTGCTAAAACGAGATGTTTCTACAAGGAGGTCTGGTGGAGAGGACAGAGACTCTCATTATGAAGGGATGAGGACAGACATGTTTATTATTCAGAGGACAAACGTAATTGTAATATTACTATAATATCATGATTAATGACATGTTTATGGATGCTGGAAGAGATATTGGATCCCTGCTGTACGCGGAGAGAGGAGGTCATCATATCACGACTCAGTCACACAGGTCTGAACTCAACTCTGTTCGTAATGGCAACGAAACTGAAGATGTGGAGCACGTCGTTACGAAGGGTCAAAATACAATAACGAAAGAAACCGATTGGAGGCTCAAATTGTCCACCGGGGACGGAAGTGGAGTGTGGAGGGAGTCGTGTCAGTGGAGCAGGGTGGGCCCGACTGCTTTAGACCCCTGATGCGTCTCATAGAAGAGACGGGACCAGGTCGTAGGATCCAGGTAACAGCGGCAGGCTGAGCAATAAACCCTGAACCTGCACACTCCGGTACAGCAGGTGGCGCGATGCACCTGGTCACGTGACGCTGGTTGCGACCCGCCAGAACAAACCGGAAGAAGAAGAAGAAGAAGACGTGAGGGAGACGCGTAGAAAGTCACCAAGCTTCACTTTAACGTCTTAAAGTGTCACATCGTGTGAGTATGTCCCGTGACACACAGCGTGTGTTTACTGTGTGTTTGTGTGTTAACGGGCCGTCAACCTTTGCAAAGTTCCTTTACCGTTTAGACGATAAATACGGAAATAATACCGTTTTATTTGAGTTTTTTCGCTTTAAACCAAAAGAGTAAATGTCCTTTTCTGTCCAAATCCAAACACGAAAAAACGACCGATCTGTTTTTCTGAAAATCCCTTTTTGTTTGTTCCTTTTAAAAGAAACCGAAGCGCAGCCGCTAAACCGGAAGTGCGCACATTTTAACAGTAAAACGCAATAGAACGTTTGTACGATAGAAATCCGTCTGTGACGCAACAATATCTATAATATAGCAGAGTAACATTAGAAGAATGAATATGAAACGTCATCGTGTGTTAACAACAGCAGTTGACTACACGCAGACACATTTACATTCATCCACGTACACAGATACTCATTCATCTGTGCGCTGTTTGATGCAATATAGTTATTAACATAGTAACAACACATGTATTACTGTAGGTAATAACACAGTTTGTGGTGGCAGACTCGTTGCTGTTGGCTCTGATATTTATTTCCAGTATTGTTGTGTTGCTTCAGTGCTCAGAGACACTTTAAGGAGAGTAAACGTGTTCACATCTCCACCACTAGGGGGCAGAATACGACTAGTTAAAGCAAAAAGCAAGGTCTCTTTGTCACACTTCCATCCTAAATCAAGCTGTAGACCAAAGAGCTCAAAGGTCCAAGATGAGAAGATATAATGTTGGTCTAAAGAAAATGACTCGTGTGACTTTACGGCCTTCAGACATTTGGACTCTAGAACATTTGACACATTTTCCCAAATGTCACGAGACGAGAGCAGAAAAGAGAAGGATTGGTTCTCTGTCCTTCTTTGCTGCCATGTGACCTGTGACCTCAGAGGGACCTCTGGAGCTGTGGGCGGATGCACAGCGTACTTTTGATTAGTTTCCTCTCATCAGCAGTCAAAGGTCCATTTATCCTGAGAACACTGTGGTGGCCTTAATAGAGGCTTCAATGATCCGATCCCCTTCCAGGTAGTGAGTGCTTGTGCTTCTATGAAAGCAGAATCATTCCCCTCCTTTAGCTTCAAGGTAACAAAGTCAAATCCACCTCTATGAGTTTCATATGGCAAATGTTTTACAGCTACAAATACTTGTAGAGCACCACGAGTGTCTCCACACTAGCTGAGCGTAACATCCTCTTTCCCTCAACATGTTCGGTTCCTCCACAGAGCAGTTGGGTCTGACACCCCCTGCTCCTCAACACCTGCAGAACTTCTTTAGCTTTCAAGTCCATGAAGGATTAAACAGCCACAAACCTGCCAAGAGGAGGAAGTCCACCCAAACTGACAAGCAGGACCAGGAGACAATGAATGAGGGGAAGATAGACGGAGCCAAATAGAGGACAAGAGGACAATGAGCCTAAACATGCAGCCTGGGCTACAATGGAATAGTTCACATCAAAGCATTCATGTTGTAAAACGGCCCAAAGCCCAAACCTCAACCACACCGATTGGTTCTTAAATGAGATGAACAGTCAAACGTTTGGACACGTTTACTCATTCGATTCAATGAGAAAGTGTCCAAACCTTTGGACTGAATTGGGCTACAAAAACATCTGTAATAACCGAGATCCATTTATATTCACTAGCTAACGTTTCTTCATATGCTACCCCGCTATACGCTGGATCACTGACGCATTTATACCCTACAAACCTTCCATTCCAGGACTTTTACTGTGAAAATGTGCACTTCTGGTTTAGCTGCTGCGCTTCCATTTGGCTTCATAGGAAAAACCCAAATTGGTGGTTTGTCAATAACGTGTGAGCTCTGCCAGCAGGTTGGTGTGAAGGTGTGAAGGTGTGGACTCTGCTATGAATCAGGTTGAGGACCCAGAGGACGGAGTCCCTCCCTCTGAAGCCCCTCTGTGTGGGGAACATGACAGCCAGACCAAAGCTCAGAGGTGAGAGGACCATCTCCAACTGTCCTCCACTCGTCTCCATGTCCCAACGTCTCTGACTCACTGACTCTGCTTCTATGTGTGTGACCAGGATCCATCAGAGACCAGGACCTGGACCTGGACCCAGCTGTGTGTCCATGAAGAGTAACCGGTCTATGGATCGTCCTGTAGCCTTCAAAGATGTTGGTCCCT